CCTGTAAGCTATTCTGAGGGACCAAGGACTGGTTCTACCTGGAAGCTCCAGGCTGCCCAGGACCTGACATACAGAGAACTAACCCGAGGCCTCCAGGATTCCCAGGGAGCAGGTGATGGTATGGGCACAGGAGCAGTCCCTTCTTCCCTGCCTTCTGCTCTGGGGCTGGGCAACTGCAAGAAGGCTGGCCTAGAAACCGGAAGCCCTTCAGGGAAGGTACTGAAGAAAAACCAGGAAGGTTGAGGTAGTGTGTGTGTGTGTGTGTGTGTGTGTGTGTGTGTGTGTAAAAGGGACTCTAGGGGAAAGGGGTGTGAGTGAGCTACCAGAAGGGCAGCTGCCACCTTGATGCCAGGGCCTCCAGTCTGCCCTCTTCCTCCCTTCGGTGTCTAAAGTTCCTATTCCTTCTCAGCAACACCTCCGACCCCCGAGGTCTTAGTCTTGCGTTTCTGGCAATCCCACCTTTGCTTCCTTCATCTAGTCGGGTGTCCCCATCTCTCTGCTGTTCATTTTGTTGGTATCCTTCCATCTCTGCCCCTCTCTGCCTCAGTTTCTCTTTCTCTCCACCTTTGTGCCCCCTGCTTCCAGGAGCCTGTGTCAATCTGTCATTGCTTCTCAGGATGGTGGCTTAAGAGGGCTGGGGCGTGGGTGATGGGGTATGGGGGTCAGGACGCTCTGGGAAAGTCATTTGAGAGCCATCTAGTTCTGGGCTCTCATGCCAGGCACCTGTCTGCCTGGGCGCCAGCTCTGATGTGGGTGCCCCGGAGCGCGTCTTTGTCTTTCACTGGCCTCAGAGGCTAATTAGTTAGGACAGAGATGGGGCTGGAAGAGGGACCACCACTTTTGTTCTGCCGGGCCACAGCGGACACTCAGCCGGCCAGGCCCAGCTTGCTCCAGTCCCGTCTGTTAAAGACAGCCCCGCAGCAAGGGCTCCTACCCGGTTTGGGCAGCCCGCCGCGCCTTTGTCCTCGCCCGCGGGGGCGCCCTGGAGCTACCGGAGCCGGGGGTGGGGGTACACTTGGGTCCCTATAAAGAGAGCATTTTCTGGGCCACGGTGGGGATGGAGAGGAGACAAATGGAGACTTAGAGAGCAAGAAAGAAACCTGGGGGGGGGGGGGGCGGTGTGAACCTAGAAGGTTTGAGAAAGGCGGGAGCGCGGTGCGAGACAGCGACCGGGAGGCTGGGATGAAGCGGAGACGCACGACAGAGTGACAGAGTGAGGGAGTGCCTCGAGCCACCAGCTACAACTGGAGCTAGCAGGAGCTGACGAGGCTAGGGTGGCTGGGATGGCCGGAGGCAACCCGGGAGCAGCAAGAGGCTCCTCAGCGCAGAGCCAGGGGCCAGTCTCCAGCCGCAGGGCCGGAGAGCACAAGGCTGGGCCCAGGTGGGGGTTCCGGACACAGATCCGCCGCATTCTTCGCTTTCTTGTCCCCCTCCACCCACCCACCCTCGGGCTCATTCCGGCCGATCGATACCTGCGCGGGACCTGCCCCCGCCGCTAATATCTTTTTAATGAGTTCTCAGGGCTTAAAGCCAGCGCGATCTGCCCTCCAGGGTGGATTTTCCCCCGGCAGATGTTTTGGGAGAAGGCGGTGCTCCGAGGCCGGGGGTTGGGGGCGGGGAGGGGGGGGCGACGACAAATCTCTCCCTGCGAGGGGCAAGGGCAGAAGACTTTCTTCTAAAGTTCAAAACAGGAGCTTTCTCTCGGGGGCCCCCAAAATGTATTTCTCTGTGGACAGTGGGCTTCTTTTCTCCTAGGGCCTCCGGGACGGGAGGGGCGGGGACCCATCTAGTTGGCCTGCCTGACCGACTCACGCCCTGGGCACTAGGGCCGGGACGCCCAGCGCTGGCTCAGGAGCTGGAACTCGGCCTACGCTGCCTTGGTGCGGATGCAAAGAACTGATCCAATCTGGGCGCCCAGGAGCAAAGCCCAGTTGCACCGAGAGGAACCGACGTGCCCTTCGGGCTGGACCAGAGCGGTGGGCTGCTCCCTGCGCTCCTGGTCTCGCGGTTGCTGATGCTGAACCCGAAGGGATGCGTGCTGGCTTCTGGAGGAGGCGCGGGACTCATCTCCCGGCTCGCACCACTGTCCAGGTCCCCTGGGCTCTCTGCCAGAGGCAACAAGTTGGAATTAGACGGGCCCTGCCGGCTGCTGGGTCCTGAGACCCTCTTGGTGTACCTTGGGCCAGCCACCTCTTCTGATCCGTCCCACCCGATCCTGCCCTGTCCTTCCACTCCCCATTTGGGGTCCCTTCGCTCTTGGGTCTGATGGTCGGCTGCTGCCTCTCTTGTCCCCACTCCGGTGGACTTGGGGGTGGGGCACGGGCGGCCGGGATGACCTCCGAAGAGCCGCGGCAGATTGATTCGTTCCGCCCGAAGCCTGGGCCGAGTGAATGGGGCTCGGGCGGCGGCGGCGGCGGCGGCAGCGGGGATAAAGATGTTGTCCCTGAAAAGGGGGTGGGGGTGGGTGAGGAGCGGGAAGCAGGGCCATTCACTCCTGGCCCGGCCCCTCGGGAAGCCTCTGCGAAGAAAGAGGGCCAGGGTCTATTCAAGCCCTACGAGCCGCCCACAATGGGCCGATATACTGGGGGCCTCTCTATTAACGCCCATGAATATTAAAGAGATCGCCGAGCGGCAGCCCGCGGGCGCGATCGAGGGGGCGGGGGCGGCGCCTTGGAGCTCCGACCCTGCGGGGTCCAGGGGAGGGGTCTTCGCGCAGGCACACTCGGAGCCTGGATCCCAGAGACGCGCTTCATCCACTGTGAACTCACAGCGTTTCCCCCCCTCGAAGTCTCCACTCAAGCAGATGCGAGCTCAGGGGCTTTGCTGTCCGACCCCAGTGGGCTGTCTTCCCTACAGGGTTTGATTTGGGGAGAGCATGGGGCCAGGTGGGAACGACCACTAAGCCAGAAGCTCAAAATGCAGCGACTACACGCCAGGTCCCGTAGGCGCCCCAGCTAGGTTGCTTTGGCTCCTGTCCCTCCTCCAGCATACTCTCCCCAGGTTCTGGGGATCCTAAGGAAAGCAATGGGACGCCCCGGTCGCAGCCTGAGCCTGTGGTCCTTTTGTCTTTAGACTTCCATCTTGGGACTGGAACGCAAATTCGCCCCAGGCATGAAGGACCCTTGGACCTGGGAGCTTTTCACAGTACAGTGTAGCGAGGGAATTCTCAAAATCCTCTGCAGCTCCGGGAGGAGCCACCGGAACCCAAGGGTGACAAGTTGGGACGAAACCTCAGCACATAGTCCAACTCAAACCACTATCGAGAGGAGCCCAGAGGCCCAGAAAAGAGAAGGGCTGTCCCCAGGATGGTCTGCCGTCCTCAGTCCCCTTTAGTCTCCCGCAAGCGCTGAGGTAGGCTCCGGAGTTGGAAGCTGAGCACCCAGCCTGGCATTCTTCTGCCCAGCTCAGTCTCCTCTCCACTTAGGCTTCACAGAAGCCAAGATCCAGGCGCCGGTCAGGTTCCCTTGCCACCGAGACATTGGATTCCATTCTCCCCGTCAGACTGGAACCCTCCGCGAGCCGATTGAACTCACCGGCGGCATCTGAAAGAAACCCCAGCCCACCGGAGGCACTTGCTCCTCTGCAGCGCTGCCCTCTGCTGGCGCCCTGCCCGTTGGTCCCTCTCCCTGCCCGGTACACCCACTCTCCTCTGGGCTCCAGGGGTTCAGCGTCTGAAGATAGTCTGTCGCCGCCTTGGTACTCCAGTCCCCGCCTGGCGGGCTGAGGACGCCAGAGACCACTGGCTCCAACCAGGGGTTATAGAGACCTGGGATCCCATGGTTGCCAGGGGCGAGGCAGGCTTAGCGCTGGCGAGCTGGTGGTGGAAAGGGTTCTTTTCCTAGGGTCGTTAGGATCCTGCCCGAGGTTCAAGTCCCAGTCCTGCGCTGGCAGCACTACCCACGCCCAAGTCCCAGGGCTTGGAAGGCCTGAAGAGTCTTCGCTATCCAGTGGAGACCCAAGACAAGAACGCACACTAGCCTGCAGGCTGCGGAACTTTCCATAGCACAGTCTGAAATTGCCGCGGCACAGGTGGTGGGGGAGGTGGCCGAGGACTTGTGCTGTTGGGGGAGATGTCCCCGGGGACCCTCCAGTGTGGTTGTTTCTGGAGCTGGAGGGGGAAATCTTGAGGCTGTCCAGGAGGCTTCCATGTACTGAGGAAGCCGCGGTCTTCCCGACTTAGCAACTGTTTCTGAAGAGGTGGGGAACTGGCTCCCAGGTGCCTTGGAAAGACTTTATAAAATCCACTGTTGGGGCAAGGTGGGGTAGCGGGAAGGAGGGGGAAGGAAGAGAAGGGAGCCAGGAAAGAGAATGATCATTAGGAGACCAAAAGGAAAGGAACGCTAGTCGGTTTCCTAGGATGCACATCCCGGTAGCTGGATTCGAAAGCCAGTCCAGCAGATGGGTTTGTTCCGGGCTGCCTGCAATTTCCGAGGCGTTGGTTTTGGGTCCCTGCAATTCCCACCTTACACTGGTCCCGGGAATCCCACAAATGCCATAATCTGATGGCAAGCGTGGAAGCGGGTCAGCCCTTCACTATCCCCACCCCAACTTAGTGCTCCTAAGGCTGGGAGCCATCCTATGTGGGATCCAGCCCCGACGGCGACGCCGGTGGTTCTGCCTCAACAACCCTCTGTGCCGGCCCAAGTTTGGCACCCGCTGCGCTGAGCGAGCGGAGCTGTTGCGGAGCCCCGTTTGAAGCGAAGCCGGCGTGGGTAGCTCTGCCAGAGCAAGAGATCTGCATCACACGAGCAGGAGCCACTGGCTCCGGGTTGTTGTCGCAGCCAAGGGCGTGAAGCCTCTAAGAGAGCAGGGGGTGGGGGCGAGGGGGAGATGGGGACCCGACAGAGTACTTGGCTTGGTTCAGGAGAGCAGCACACTGCCCGCAGCTCCGGGAGTGGCCCACAGTGCTAGAAGGCGAGGACCTGGTCTTGCCTGGGACAGGTGGGCGCGGGGGCACTCGGGGCTCGCAGCCATGCGTCCCCTCTTGCTCAGTCTAGTCCCTGGAGTATGGGCGAGCCTCGCTGCGTCGCAGCCCCTACTGCAACCCCTCCTCTCCCGGCCGCGGGCTGAGCCTCCCTCCTTGCCTGGAGCTTCCCACGGGGAGAGGAGGAGGGGGAGGAGGAGGAAGGATCGGAGGGGAGGGAGGAGCAGAGGGGGACTATTCTGAGCGGTCCGCGCTGCCCCCGCCCCTCGCGCTGTTGGTGAAGGCTCCTTCGAGCCTGGCCGGTACAAGTCTGTCCTTCGACGTCAGGGGGTCATTAATAACCAATTAGGAGGGTCACTGCGGCTCCTATAAAGGAGCTGAGATTTTGCCAAGGGGAGGACGGTCCGGATGTGCAGGAGGCGAGTGGGCAACCGAGAGCCCTTGGTCGGTGTCTCTCCGCAGCCGCCCGCCTCTCACCTCTCCCGCTCCCCTCCTGGTACCCGCCCCTGTCTCCACCCGCGGATTTCCAGCCCTCTGTGCGGCCTCTACCATCTCTGCAGATTTCGTGTTTCTCCCACCTGGTTCACTTTCCTCCCAGCCACCCCCTTGCCACTCACTCCCTAGCGCATCCTCCCCCTGCTCCTCCTCCCCCTCCTCCCTCGCGTTGTGTCGCACTCCTCTCCTCTCACTCCTGTGCTCCCTCTTCGTTGCCCACCTCTCCGAAGTCCACCCAAGCCGTCCTTCCGCTGCGCCGGCGCGCCCCTGGCCGCCCATGATGGGCTCTGTGCTCCCAGCTGAGGCCCTGGTGCTCAAAACAGGGCTGAAGGCTCCGGGGCTGGCGCTGGCAGAGGTCATCACCTCCGACATCCTGCACAGTTTCTTATACGGCCGATGGCGCAACGTGCTAGGTGAACAGCTGCTCGAGGACAAGAGCCACCACGCCAGCCCAAAGACTGCCTTCACCGCCGAAGTCCTGGCGCAGTCCTTCTCAGGAGGTGAGTCGCGCCGTCGGGGCTCTTCTCCCTCGCTCTTCCTGGCTACCCCCAATTCTCAGGCTAGCGGCGCGGTGGCCAGATAGGGAGTCCCTGGCCACAACCAGGACGCTCTCCCATATCAGCGCACCTCAGTTTTTCCGTGGGTCAGACCCGGGCTGGAACAGCCACACAGAAGCAGAGCGGAGGCAGCTAGGAATGCGGGGCGCTCTAGAACCGAACCCCGGCGACCCAGACGACCTGCGTCGGTCAGCCAGGCTCTTCTGTGTCTTCTCTCCCCACCCCACCCTCCAGCCTGGAGCTCGCGGTTTCCTGGCATTAAAAGCCTTACTGGGCGTGTAATAGCAGTTGACTCAAAAAGAACGGGTTTTAAATTCATTTGGTTAACTTGGGCTTGACCCGCGAAAGTTCCCACTTAAACCAAAAACTGTAAAAGACAGCCGGGGCCGGGGAAGGGGCGGAGGGCGGGCAGGCCGGAGAGAAAAAGCCGAAGAGAGCGAGGGAGAGAAAGAGCGAGGAAAGTTCCTTTTCTTTAAGATGTCTCAAGTTCTTATCCCTCATTCGTCACCCCGCAAACAATATCTTTCCCCAGCGCTGGCGTCTCTGAGCGTCCCCCTCTCTTCCCCTTTAAGATTACTGTTCCTCTCTTAATTTACCGTGAAGACTAATTCCACTTCCATTCACGCTATGTCAACCATCTAATCCTCCCTTTTTGTAAGGAGAATTCCTCGGCCCCTTTTAAACAAGTCCCCTCCGCATTGAGATACAATTTACTGCTACAGCTTTCTTCCAGGGCTAATGAATTTAGAATTAGCAATTTCTTTCGAATGGAGCCGAATGAATGCGATCACTTTAACAGCGTGACAAATTGCCGGCCGCTCCGCAATGGACACCGTTTAACCCCCCCTTTCAGCCGGCCGGCTCGCCGGGTATTTTCCCAGGTAGCTTAGAGGGGAACCTTGTAAGACAAGGAGGCCGCCCCTGTGCGCCTCGCCGCTCCCACCCCTGCCGCAGAGGCCCCACCGGGGATCCTCTGGGGACTAGGGACCACTGGTTCTTCCTCGCCCATTAAGGCGACTTCAGAGCTCGCCTGATCCGGGCGCCGCCCTCCCTGGCACCCTAGAGCCTGGAAGCAGAGAGGGCCACCGGCGTGCCAGGGGAGATGACACCGAGAGCTGGCAGCCTAGTTTGCCGAAGCAGTGTTTCTTCTGCGCGGGTGCCACCTTCCAAGCTGGGGATCTGTCCCCAGTGCTGACCGCGTCCGGGAGACACGCAATGAGCCCAGAGTCACCAGCTGAAGAGTCAGGAACAAGGCTGAGTGAAGAGTCCCGGGTTGGACGTTACCTCTTCGCCAGACCCGGCCTCAGTTTCCCTGTCTGTAAACACAATGCGTTTTCACTGGTTCTTAACCGTGACGAAAAGCGGTGAAGGTTGTGGATGTTTGGAGAACTTGTGGAGAGACTTGTAGAAACGAGCCCCAAGGGCTGATGATACGGCTGGGCGGCAGAACGCTTCATGCGCAAGGCTAAGGGTTCGATCCCCAGTAACTCTCCGCTCAAAAGAAAAATAAATGAACCACGATACACCGCTTGCTTTTAGAAGGCACAGAGGGTCCTGGGTTGCAAAATAAGACTGAACCTCTGCGCACAGGTCTATAGCGCGCCACTGGAGAGATTCGCCCATGTTGGGGCTGCCTGTGCACTGAGCAGGGAGAGCGGGTCCTGGATGAGAAGGGTAGGGCCTTCTTTGCGCAAAAAGACCGGGTTCCTCTAACCCCCATCCCCAACCCCCGCAGAGGTGCAGAAGTTGTCCAGCCTGGTGCTGCCGGTGGAAGTGATCATCGCTCAGAGTTCCATCCCCGGCGAGGGCCTTGGCATCTTCTCCAAGACGTGGATCAAGGCAGGCACAGAGATGGGTCCCTTCACTGGCCGCGTCATTGCCCCAGAGCATGTGGACATCTGCAAGAACAACAACCTGATGTGGGAGGTAGGTCGAGCTTTGGAGAAGGATTCGGGTGGCCAGCTGGGCTGGCGCCCTCCGGGCTTGTATCCACTGCTGCCCGAGCTTCAGTTCTGGAGCTGTGGGTGATGTCCCTTTGAACACCTTGGGGGTACCACTCTCCTCTCCCAGAGCTTTCTTTGCCAATGGTTCTTTTTCTTTTGCCTGTTTAGGAAAAATCTGCCCTTCTTGCTTCCAAGCTTCCCAATCAAGGCTGTTAGCCGTGCTTCACACATGACGACAGAGCTGGGATTGGTGGTGGTGGTGGTGGTTCTGGTGCAGAGGCTGGGAAGAAGGCCTCTCTGGGCTTCTCCGAGCTACCCACATTCTTTCCCTGGCCTTAAAGGCTGCAAGGGCGGGTCTCTGAGGCTGGTCTATGGTGAAGTGTGGCTGGAATGGAGGACAGTGGAAGCCGGGTGTTTCTTGAGAATACGTTTCCCAATCCTAGGCCTGGTGGCCTCCAAAATAATCACAGCTGACTAGAGGCTGAGACAGCAGTCTCGTTCCCCAGCCTGCAAACTGTGAGCTCATCTCCTCAGCTCTATGGGCTATTATTTTATTCTCATGTTGCAGAAGGAAACGAGTATCCGAAGGGCTTCCATTTCTGACCTTCTGACTCTCACCCCACCTCCAACAGTGTCCTTGGATGCCAGGGAGGGCTCCCCTTAGGACAAAGCTCGCCCAGTAGCAGCCCTCCACCATCGCTCTTCCCCCCACAGCCCTGCACACCCACAGTAGCCAGACGGCACACCCTACTTCTCAATCTCATTGCCCCCCCCGCTGTCACCCTAGCAGCCCCACCTGGCAGGAACTAGTGTGATACCATGCAGGTGCTCAGAGGAACTGGAGGAAGAGCAGAGAGACAACCCAGACCTTGATTTCTTCCTTCCCTGGACACCTGGGCCTAGTCGGTGTCTTCCAGCTGTTGCCCAATTAGGAAGCTAGGGTGTGGTTCAAGCTCTGAGGACTCTTAGCAGCTGGCTTCACATAGGGGCGTAGGCCAGGCCAAGAGACTCTAGTGAGCTAGATTTGCCTCCCAAGCTCTTGCGTTCCTCTCTGAGGCTCTGCAGCAAACCTGGACAGGCAGCAGAAGAGCATATTAACCTGCTTAGGGATCTTTTGGGGACATTTTCTTCTAGGAGTGAACCCATGGAGCCCCGAAGATGGACTCCTTATTTGCCCCTTGCCTGAGACGAGTCACTGTGCCCCCTAACCTCCCTTTCCTGGACTGGAAGGCATGGATGACAATAGCTTTAGCCACTTTCTAGAGCTCTTTGGAGAAAGGAGAATGTCTACCGATGGGTCTGGCCTGGGTCACACATGTAGCACTGCCCTGCCTAACCCCATCACCGCTCCACCTGTGCCTAGGTATTCAACGAGGATGGCACAGTACGCTACTTCATCGATGCCAGCCAGGAAGACCACCGAAGCTGGATGACCTACATCAAGTGTGCCCGGAATGAACAGGAGCAGAACCTGGAGGTAGTGCAGATAGGCACCAGCATCTTCTACAAGGCCATAGAGGTACGTGCACGTACTGTTACATAGAGACAGATGGAGACGCGTCACAGTGAGGGGTGTGCAAATGCTGCTGCATCCTGTGACCAAAGAGGACAGAGGACATCGGCGCTGGCCCAACTGGCTCCGCCTGGGTGTAGGGCTGAGGCTCATGTGCCATGATTGCCAGGAGTGTGCCCTGTATGGGAAGCCTGCTGATATAGCTGGGAGAAGATGGGGCTTGCAACTTGATGCTGTGGTGAATATCTCAGACATAGAGGAGAGTTTGGGGGAAGTCAAAAAGTAGAATAATAGAGAAAGTGGGACTCAAGGGAAGCAGGCTGGAGGCTGCACTTGGGTATGATACAGGTCACGGAAGTTTAGCTGTGTGTCATCCCCCACTCTGCACACATGGAGGCCCGTGGTGTGTGGGTCAGTGCTTTGTCTCAGCAGCAGCTCATTGTGTCAGGCCTACTGAAGAAAGGCTAGGGGGCATGCATGATGTGTGGGATCTTCCAAAGTAGACAAAAGTGGAACCAGGGCCAGGGTCTGGGAAGAGAAGGGAGGCGGTCCTGAAGGTAGGAGACGCCTGGCAGACACAGAAGAGACGACGGCATCAGGGGAGTGGGGGGGGGGGGGCAGTGGTAGCCAAGCTGGGGGCACATCAGCAGGGTTCTTTGAACAGGATCTCTCGGCATGCAGCTTGGCTGTGTCTTGCCCTGGATGTGGGAAGTTGTCTAAATGCTGTGAGGGGTAGCAGGGATGTCCCACTGCGTTTTTCTAGATCTTGCACTTTTGCTAACTTGTTTTGGAAGTCCCTTGGTGGGGGAAGGAAGGGGGCTTTCTCGCTGCACTCCATTTACAGGCAATGACTCTGAGCTTGAACTCAAGACTCTTCTGAGTGTCCATGCCTGCTAACTTCTTGGACCGTTCTAGAATGACCAGACCCTCGGGACTTTGACCAGGGCGGGGTAGCAGAATAACCTCTGCCTAGGCCTTGTGTAGCCAGGGCCTGAGTCACAGCAGAACATTAGCCCACGGAAGACCAGGGAGTAGGGGGTGAGGAAAGACAGGCAGGTCTGCCCTGGCATTCAGAAATGCCAGGAGGACTGAGGGGTGTCAGTGTAGTACCAGCTCAGGCAGGACCAGCGTGACTCCTGTGACCATCCAGCTGGATTGCCACCTCCTAGAATGGTGCAGTTGAACTCTCTTAGCAAAGTGCATCCTCTTCAGTTCTCACTCCTCTGGCTTTCTTTCTTTTTTTTTTTTCTTTGTTTGGTTTTTCGAGACAGGGTTTCTCTGTGTAGCTTTGCGCCTTTCCTGGAACTCACTTGGTAGCCCAGGCTGGCCTCGAACTCACAGAGATCCGCCTGGCTCTGCCTCCCGAGTGCTGGGATTAAAGGCGTGTGCCACAACTGCCCGGCTTCTCTGGCTTTCTTACACACACACAGACATATACCTTTACATACCCCCCCACACATATATGTGCACACTCCCAGAGACATACCTGTGCACACATATGTATACAAACACAATGCACATACACACACCTGTACACACGTACTTATAGATACACAGATTCACACATTCACATGCACACATGCATGCACATGTACACAGACACAGGAGACTGGCCAAGAATGCCTATGTCATGTTGGCACTCGGGATCCCGGCTGGGGCAGAGAGGTGGCCTGAGTCCCATCATACTAGACACATCAGACTGGTGGGAATTGAAGTCAGATCAGGACATGTGAATGCCATTTATACAGAAGTATGAATTCAGGGGACAAGGAGGATCAGGAGTGTTTTAAAGGAGGATTATAATTTGTATGATTAGGAGAAAAAGTTCATTTATGTTTATCAGAAATTTAAGTTTATGAAAGAGTGGGCTATACACACATCTATATATAACACACAGATTATCACATATATGTATCTATTATACACATACCTCTCACATGATATTGTAGTGTTTAGAGTGGATCATCCTGCTAAGAAGGGATTGTTGAAGTGAGGTACAAGGAAACACGTATTTCCAAATTACTTTTGTTTCTTTTGTTTAAATTTTTTTTGTTATTTTGCCAGGTGGTACACACTTTTAATTCCAGCACTTGGGAGGCAGAAGCAGGCAGATCTGAGGTCGAGGCCAGCCTGGTCTACAGAGTAAGTTCTAAGACAGATAGGGCTACACAGAAAAATCCTGTCTTGAAAAAAACAAAAACAAAAACAAAATTTTGTTTTTTAAAATTTGAGACAGGGTCTTACTATATAGCCCTAACTGTCCTAGAACTCAGTATATATATAGACCAGGCTGGCCTCACACTCACAGAGATCTGCCCAGCTCAGCCTCAAGAGTACTGGGATCAAAGGCATGCACCACCGTACCCAGCCCAAAATTACTTTTCATAAATGAACTTGGGCACATTTTTTCATAGCAGTAATTCTCTCAAATCATTTTTGAGCAATGTTAGAATTCCACTTATATACATATTTCTGCTCACCCAGGCGGCTCCTGGGAAGTTTTGACTCATCAGCTGTTTGTTCTGTGTGTGTGTGCAGGGGGAGCTGTTAGCCAAAGAGAGGGACCTTTGCCATGATCTGTTTACTTGGTCTCCCACCACTCACGAGCACTATTTATAACAGTAACCCGTTACTTGTCAAAACGTGGGGGGAAATGTCTCTCTTCAATAGGAAGAATACACTTTGCTGCTCTAGAACATTCCACAAATATGAAGTCATGCATAACTAAGTGGAGACAGAGGTGACTGTATTTGGGAACTCAGGCCAGCACTAAAGTACTGCCACACATTCTGCATTCCAGGTTGGGGTAATTGGGGTGTGTTGCAGCCTTCTGGCTTTGCTTCTGCCTGGACACTCACTCGGTCCTGCCTCAGGTGCCTCAAATGGCATTTCTAGAAAGCACCCAGCAGAAAGCAAGGGTACACTAAGTATAAATAATAAATCTTTCTCTGGGTGACAGGGTGTCCACAGGGACCCACCTCTTCCAGGAAAACAAAACTGGCTCACCCAGGATGCCAGAGAATTGCTCAAGAGACCACCACAAGGGAAGGCTTGAGGGAGCTGTCGTCACACTAACCAAACACTACTACCTAGTGTTTTACAGTGGGAAGGATCTCCAGCCTGTCCTGCTTCTGCTTCATTGTGTTGTGTTGTATTGTATTGGCAAACGGTTGCCCTGAAACGTGGGCTCCCACATTCCTTCTTGTTTCAGAGCAGCTGAGCCTTTTCTTTTTCCTGGATCCTCATCTCTTTTCTCAACTCGGAGGATAAACACCATTTTCTTTTGACCTTGCTCAGTAGTGGCTCTGATGATTACCGTCATTAGTGATCAGCACCATTAATGATGCTCCCCCGGCAGCCTGGTCTACAAAGTGCGTTCCAGAACAGGCTCCAAAGTTACACAGAGAAACTCTGTCTCAAAACAAACAAACAAACAAACAAAAATGATGCTACCGTGAGCATTTCTCATGCGCCGACACTACACTAAAAATGTTTTCAAAGGGCCTTAGCAACTTTTTGCTTTTGTAGTGGGTACTTTTTTTTCACAGTTCCATGAACTGAACCCAAGGCCTTATAGATACTGAATAGGTCCTCTATTGCTGAACCTCATCGCAGCCCTTGTCCCCATTTTAATGATGAAGAAATGAAGGTTCAAGTTTGGGGAGACTCTGGAGCTGCGACTTGAACCCCAGCCCATCTGCTGCAGAGCTAGAGCATGGATGGCTGTGCTGTGTGGCCTCCCCGGCCAGCATCTTCTTGTTGGGGCTCTATTAATTGGTGTGTCAGGACATCTGCGCACAATGGAAACCAATGATCATCCAGATGACACAGAGATGCTTCTGTGTCACTCCGGGAAGGGGCAGGTGTCAGAGCCTCCCGGGAGCGTGTTCAATGGGGTGTCATGAATTTGTATTAGGAGAGCAAACCTGAAAGCCTGTCACTGCCCCTCTGTCATTGAAATGGGGCAGGACCAGAGTTAAGGAACGAACGAACAGAACTAGCCGAGAGGTCATGAGGCTTGTCAGCAGGAATCAGGCGATGCTGATTCCCTGGGCTTGGCAGAGTGGATTTTATGAAATGGGGATCAGTTCCTTTGGGGATTGCTTGCTTCGTGGCATGTCCCAAACCAGAAACATGAACGAGCAGCTGGTTTGGGCTCCCAGCCCTTCCAGCCTGCACCAGCTGAACTCGGCAGGAACTGCCTGTGAGGGGGTTACGGGGGGCTGTGGCTGTTCAATGCACTGAGGTGGTCTATGCACAGTACTTCCAGGGTCTCAGAGAAGAGGGTGCAAGTTCTAGGGTATCCTGGGCTCCAACACAGGCTTTTGGTAGATGCCGACACACCCAGAGAGCATCAGCAACCACTGGGCATCTAGAGCAAGAGAGAGTAGCTCCCCATTATTTGCCCTGCAACACAATTATAATATGTCCATGAGCTTTACTTTTCAAGTTGAATAAAATTAATTGCAGTATTTAGTAAGTGGAGAGCAGAGGTAGGGGGTTCCAGGCTCTGAAGGTCAAAGCAACTGTTTCTGGAACCCCCTACCTCTGCTGTTTCTCTGTGAAGGGGACATGGGCCTCTTCTACTGCTCATAGCCTCTAGCTGTCTGGGATGTTTCATTACCAATCCCAGTACATTCTACTCAGTAGGTTTCCTTTCCTGAAAAGTCTTAGGATTGTTGTCACTGCTGTGTGTGTAGAGAAGGGATATATGATCATTTGGTTTTTCAAGACAGGGGTTCTCTGTGTAGCTCTGGCTGTCCTAGAACTCGCTCTGTAGACCAGGCTGGCCTCAAACTCACAGAGATCCGCCTGCTTCTGCCTCTGGAGTGCTAGGATTAAAGGCATGCGCCACCATGCCCAGCTAATATGTGCTCATTTTAAAGTAGATTTTATAAAACCGGAGGTCACACTGTCTCTTCATATTGCTCTTTTAAAGCCAAAATCTGCATTTTTTGAAGTCTCAAAATGACTCATTTTGGGGGAAACACCCAGAGAGGCATAGGCAACAGCTGGGCATCAGGGCAGAAGAGAGAAACTTTCCATTATTACCTTGTGGTATAGTTAGACCTTTATTCCCATGAGGTTTGATTTTTAAGTTGAATAAAAATAATTTTAGTATTTATTTATAAAATTTAAAAATATGTATTATATGTGTATGTATATTTTGCATGCATGTATGTATGTGCACATGTGTGCCTGTAGTCCTCAGAGGCCAGGAGAGGGTGAGACCCCTGGAACCAGAATCACTGATGGTTGTTTGCTAGCCACAGGTCCTCTGCAAGAGCAGCCAGTACTTAAGTCTTCATTTCAGGCCCTACTTATTTATTTTTGAGACACACAATCTCACATAGCCCAGGCTGGTCTGGAGACCAGTCATTCACTATTTAGGTAACGATGACCTTGAACTTCTGATCCTCCTGCCCTGACCTCCTCAGTGCTGGGATCACAGGCTTGAGTGGAGCTGAGGTCCAAACCTAGAGCTTCATACACCCTGGGTAAGCACTCCACCCGTGGAGGCATGCCCCCAGCCCCACGTCCGAGCTTAGTCTCAGGTGGACGTTCACCCTGCCAGTGGCTCTGGGCTTTAGTGCAGTGACTCAGGTGCCCAGATCACTGTTGGTTCCTCTGGGGGATGGGCAAGCTAGGAAAATGGTGGGCAACACTTCCACAGCTTCACAGTACCGAGAACTTCGTGCCTGTTGTCCTGTCCCCCAACAACTCTCAGGGAGGCCCGTAAAATAGGGACTCTTCTCTTCTACAACTGAGAGACCTGAGGCCGAGCGACGCCATTATTTGCTTGCTTGGCAGGTACAGAGCCTGAGTGGTCCCAGCATCCCCGACTCCAGGGCTCAGCAGGGCCCTCTGTAGCCCATCTCCTACAGGGTGTGTACAAGTGGCCTAGAGGCTGCTTCAGGGGACGTGCTCAGAGACTGCCTAAGGTCACACAGGGACCTGGTGACATGAGATCCATCTTCAACAGTACCCTCTTTCCTAATCCACATCTTAAAAACAGACAAATACCCCTCAATCAATATCTTAAATACTTGAATTTCATCATCTAGTGTTTGAGGGGTTCACAGACCTTTCTTCTTTCCTCCTCTTCAAGGAGAGGCCTCCAGCTCCGGCCTCGCGGTCTCTTGGACGGTGAGCATGGTGGGGAAGGAGATGCTGAAGGACTTCCGCTCTAGCGCCAGATTCTAAGCTGCCCGCTAGCCGCTACCTGCGTCGTTTGCTAGTGTTTCCTAGGAACTGTGCTTGCTTTCCGTATTTCACCTCCCCAATGGGACTGGCCACGCACACGCTCCTGGGCGGCTGTGAGGCCAATGGCTATGGGTTGGTGTGAAGGGACACGGTGATGCTAGCCGGAGTCTCAGTAGAGAAACAGCAGCCGAGACACCTGCAGCTTCCTGCCCTCCCCTCCTCTCTCCTTTTGGACACTGGTGGATGGTCTGGGGGGTCTTTTGGGCTCTCTCTATGGATGGTGGACCCAAGACTCTCAGGCTCACATGGAAGGGGAGAAACTCTCCCTGAGCACTACTCTGGGGTGGCTCCAGACACTCATGGGTGGAATCCCATGTGATTTCTCTGTGTATGTACGTGTGTATATGTATGTGTTTCTGTGTGGTTGTTTGTGGTGTGTGTGTGTATGCCTGTGTTGTGTTTGTGCTTGTGTATATGCTTGTGTTGTGTGTGTATGTATATACATACTTGTGTTGTGTATATGCGTGTGTATGCTTGTGGTGTATATGTGTATAAGTGTGTAGACTTCAACCTCAGGCGCTGGTGCTCAGAAACGTTGTTTTTTGAGACAAGATCTTTCTCCGGCTTAGGGCTTGGCAATTCGGCTAGACTGGCTGGCCAGTGAACTCCAGGGTCTGTCTAGCTCTAACCTCCCAGCACTGGGATTACAAGCACACACCACCAAGCCTAGCTTTTCAGTTGGGCCCTCACGAGCTTACGAGGTGAATAGTTCCTAGCTGAGCTATCTCCCCATCCCCATATGATCTTCTGTGCTTCCGCTGAAGGAGACCTCCACAAGGACAGAGCTCTTGTTAGGCACTGTTGGAGTTTCTCTGGGTACCTCACACACTGACCTCCAGGAGCCGTGGCTAGCGTTATGGAGGGCCAGGTCAGCCTCAGGAAAGAGACTGGCTGTCCCTCCTGTTTGTCCTTCTTGGCGGGGGTCAGGAGAGCAGGCTTTCCAGCTCCCGTGGGTTGTCACTGCCACACTCGGTCAGTAGGCATCATCATTCTCTTGAGGGCAGCCAAGCCTGACTGGTCATCAGCTCTGGGGTTCTTTCTTTCTTTTTTTGTTTTGTTTTGTTTTTTGTTTTTCGAGACAGGGTTTCTCTGTGTAGCCCTGGCTGTCCTGGAACTCACTCTGTAGACCAGGCTGGCCTCACAGAGATCAGCCTGCCTCTACCTCCAGAGTGTTGGGATTAAAGGCGTGTGCCACCACTGCCCAACTGCTCTGGGTTTCTTGATGACGGACCTAGGACATGGAGAAACATTCTGTTTAGGGCTGTTTTGGTATTTGCAGAGGTGTAGGTGTTTGTCAATTCCAAGGTTTCTGTTTTAGCACCCGCCATGTGCATGGAGGCCTGCAGAGAGTCCTGTGCTGGGAAGAGAAGCTTGTGTGACTGGATGCTGCCTGTGGGCCCCGGGATAACAACTCTTCCCGGAATATTATCAGGCAGGGTGTAGCCATAGGGCACCCCACAGCCCACACTCCTTAGAAACATCTGGCTCAGCCCTATGGCCCTGAGGGCTGTCTGTCTCTAATTCCCCTGAATAAAAAAAGTGAAAAAATTTCTAGGTTTCCATGTTCCTTCTGCTTGTGAGGCTTCCTCTATTCTTTTTGAGACAGAGTCTCATGTGTTACAGGTCAGTCTCAAACTGTCTACATGGCCAAGGATGACCTTGAACTTCTGAGAGTGCTGGGGTGGCAGTGACTACCAGGACTGTTTCACACAGAGCTGGGGATCTAGTCCAGGCCTTTGTGTATGTTAAGCAAGCATTCTAGCAACTGAGCTGCTCATCCCACCCCCCCCAACCCCCCCCACCCCCCCCACCCCCCGGGTTCGTCTTCCTTTGTTTTCTTGTGGCTGTCAATTTAGATGCTTTTGTGTGGTGAAGCTGAGACAGAAATCATAAGATGACCTGGGCAAAGAGAGGGGAACAGAGGGGGCCATGTCCTGGGGCCTTCAATGACTACACAGCTTGTCTGGGATAGCTCGGTGGGATAGTCCCAGCTTTGGCTTTCTCAGGGCTGGGTGTGCAGAGACCCCTGCCTCCTGCTGGCAGTGCCACCTCCCTGACCTCCTCTTGCCTCTCTCCCTGCAGATGATCCCTCCTGACCAGGAGCTGCTGGTGTGGTATGGAAATTCCCACAATACCTTCCTGGGCATCCCTGGTGTGCCGGGACTGGAGGAGGAGCAGAAGAAAAACAAGCATGGTAGGTATTCCCCATGGGGTCATGGTGACAATGACCCACGGAGGGAGGGGAGAGCTAGGGGACAGGGAGCCTTCTGGCCTCTGAGGACCCTGCTTCAACCTCCTGTAGCATTATACACATGGGACCTACTGGTCAAATAAGGCCACTTCTTCCAGAGCAGACAGCACAGGCTGAGCAAGGGAAAGGCACTCTTGTTTTCTGGACCAGATTCGTTGTCTCCGTGCAGACCAGGAAATCTCAGAAAGGTGATGGGGTGTGGCTGGAGAGCTGGACAGGACAGCTGGCACACATTGACTCCTAGTTCACTGTATGGTGTTGAGACTAGCTTTGTCCCCGAACTTCCTCATCTGTAAAGAGAAGGTGTGGGGCGAGGGCATCTTGATGTCCCCTCTTATCTCTGTCCAGGTCCTGGTGTAGGGCCTGCTGTCAGGTAGCTGTAGAGTTTGTGTTAAGATAGGCAGAACGAGCCTGTGTGTCTTGGGATACGGCTCATCTCAGTAGAAGCCACTGGCTCCAGACCTAAGTCCTTTTTAGTACAGAGATACCTGGAGTCCCTCAATTTGACAAGAAACCTTTGATGAGTATCACCTTCCCTGGCCCTACAAGACTATGGTGACTTTTTTTTTCCTTTCTTTTTTTAAAAAGGCAGTATGGCCGGGCGGTGGTGGCTCATATCTTTAATCCTAGCACTTGGGAGGCAGAGCCAGGAGGATCTCTGTGAGTTCGAGGCCAACCTGGGCTACAGAGTGAGTTTCAGGAAAGGCGCAAAGCTACACAGAGAAACCCTGTCTCAAAAAACAAAAACAAAACAAAACAAAAAAAGGCAGTGTGTGTCATGTATCCCAGGCTGGCCTCCAAACTCATTATGTACCTAAGGATGACCTTGAACTTCTGATTCTCCTGCCTCCCCCTCCAATGTTGGGATTAAAGGAGTGTGTCATTATACCCTATTCTTTGTTTGTTTGTTTGTTTGTTTATAAGAGAAGCAAACTGGATATGGTGGCACATGCCTTAATCCTAGCGCTCTGGAGTCAGAGGCTGGCAGATCTGAGGTTGAGGCTAGCCTGGTCTACAGAGCTAGTTTCAGGACAGCCAGGGCTAAACAGGGAAACCCTGTCTCCAAATATTGGGGAGGGGGGGAGAAAGGAGCAGCCTGAGGTTCATGGGCTAGTGCTACAGAGGCTACAGAGCCCTGCTTTTCCCTGAATGCCACTGTTGCCTCCATTTGCAATGAGAAAATGGGCAAACAGTAGTTCCCAGGTACACTGATTACTCAGTGAATATTTGTGAAGTGAGTAATGAGAGAGCTTTTTAGGGTCGCTGTAGTTGCTATCCTTTATGCGTGGCCTATTAGGACCCAGGCATTTCTCACATTCTAACTAAGCATAGAGAAAATTTTTCCAGTGACTCGTTTTTCTGATGAATTTGCAAAATCCCACTAGCCCCTACTGGTCCAACAAGACCTTAAAAAAAAAAAAAAAAAAAGGCGCATGCCTTTAATCCCAGCACTCAGGAGGCAAGAGGCAGGTGAATCTCTGTGAGTTCATGGCCGCCTGGGCTACCGAGTGAGTTCCAGGAAAGGCTCAAAGCTACACGGAGAAACCCTGTCTGGGAAAAACAAAACAAAACAACAACAACAAAAACCCACTTTATTTTATTTTTACATTTTTACATATTTTTGTGTGCATCTAGGCATGTGCGCCACTGCACGCATGTGGAGGTTAGGGGACACTAGTGGGAGTCAGTTCTTCACTATGGGGTCCAGGTAATCCAATTCAGGTCATCAGGCTTGGCCGCAAAAGAATGCCTTTAGCCCAGGCTCCCCGCAGGCCACCTGATGTGGTCCGCCTACTGCTTTGTGAGACAGGATCTCTCTAAGTAGCCCTACTGGCCTGGAACTCAGAGACCGTCCTGCCTCTGCCCCCTCACCCCCACCCCCGACCGCCTCCTATTTTTCAGATGAGAAAGCTAAGGTTTCCTGGGGCCATGTCGCCAAGTCCTCCCAGGTTGGGTCCTGCTGTAATCTAGCTGCTATTACGGCAAGCACAGTCACGGCCGTGGCACCCTTGGGGCTGTGTGGCCCACGGTCTCCAGGGGAGTGAGTACACGGGGGGACCGGGCGCAGCCGCCGTGGGTGCTAACCGGGCTGCTCTCTTTCCCTCCTGCCCTCGCTGTGGGTCCCGCGTTCTGCCCGCACTGCCAGAGGACTTCCACCCGGCGGACTCCGCGACCGGCACCGCGGGTCGCATGCGCTGCGTCATCTGCCACCGTGGCTTCAACTCGCGCAGCAACCTGCGCTCGCACATGCGCATCCACACTCTGGACAAGCCCTTCGTGTGCCGCTTCTGCAACCGCCGCTTCAGCCAGTCGTCCACGCTGCGCAACCACGTGCGCCTGCACACGGGCGAGCGCCCCTACAAGTGCCAGGTGTGCCAGAGCGCCTACTCGCAGCTGGCCGGCCTGCGCGCACACCAAAAGAGCGCGCGCCACCGGCCGCCCAGCGCCGCGCTGCAGGCACACTCGCCCGCGCTGCCCGCGCCCCACGCTCACGCCCCCGCGCTCGCCGCCGCCGCCGCCGCCGCCGCCGCGGCGCACCACCTGCCGGCTATGGTGCTGTGAGCGCCGCGCACGCGCCCCGCGCGCACGCGCCTCCCCACCGCCGCTGCGGCGGACCTGACCCTAGTGCCGCGCGCCGCCGAGGCGCGGGCTACCCGGAACCCACTTCTGATCGGTCTCGCAGAGGAAGATGCCGAGGGGCGACGTCCTCTTTGCCTAGGCCACCCGGCTGGTGTGGCTGCCCTGTGGCCTCTTCTTGGGAACAGGTCCCCACGCCCGGCCCCATCCCGGAGTCTCCTTCCTGCAGGGCCGCGCCCCCATGCGAACATCTCTTTCGTGGATGACAGGAGAGGGACAGACGATCTCCAAAGAGAGCTTAGTACTTGGAAGTGGAAGGGAGAATCACCTCCTTGGTCCAGGGTGGGCCCGGGACGGGCAGTGCCCATCTCTGCCTCGGGGCCGAAAGGCTAGATTAGAACAGACCCGGAGAGACCTGCTCTTCTGGCCCCTGCTTTCCTTCAGGCTACTTTCCCAGCACCCGGCTCCCAGGGAAAGACGAGACGCCAATACACTCTGAAGTGTGTTGGGCAAGTTGAGAGTGGAGACACAAGGAACATTCACCATAATTCCTGGGCAAGACCCTGTCCCTTTTGGAGCCTCAATTTCCCCATCTGTAGAACGCGGGAGTTAGACCAGTGCCCCGCTCCAAAAGCTCTGCTGTCTTCGAGTTTAGGAATGGAGAGGCACCTTCACCTCCACCCTACTACGCACCCAAACAAGAGAATGATCGACCGTACAGGGCAGTCTGGAGCCGAGGTTGGCTTCTCTGTGCAGAAAACCCTCTGAGGCGCTGGGGCAGGGGGCCGGGGTTCGTCCCCACGTGCCCACACTGCCACGCGCCCCTGCCCACGCCTTTCCCTGCTCCAACCGTGGGCGCCCTCTGGTGTCATCTCAAACCTTGTCATTAACCAGAATCCTCCCAACACACTCACTCCCTCCACACACCAGGGCGTTTGTAAAATTAAAAAACAAAAACAAAACAAACACAAAACTATAATAATATTAACAAAAAGTATAGAATGTATAGAGTTTTCAAGAAAGTGTGTTCTACTCCCAGAAAACGGTCACTTTAACTTTGTAAATGTTTATCTAAGATGATATTTACGAAACTGTGATATATATTATTTGATTGTATATGTACAACTGTAAATACATTTGTACTTCTCTTGTATTCTAAAATAAAAATTACTTGGAACATGTATCGTTTGGCCCCTGAGACATTTGGAAAGTAGACAAAGAATGGAAATGGCTGGAGGGGCTGTTCCACCGACTGCTGCTAAAATTCACTGCTGTGCCCTCTGGAACGAGAAGCCCGGGTCCCCAAGAGAAGCCAGGGTCCCCAAGAGAAGCCACAGTGTAGAGCGTGTGGAATCCTGAAGCAGCAGGACAGAATTCTCATGGTTTGGCTGACTGCAGTACAGGTTCTCCAAGCTATAATTTACCCACCTATACTTAGAATATTTTGTTCTCATGACCACCTTGGAGAGGTTTAAGGAGGCAGTGGGGGTGGGCCACAAGGAACACCAAGCGATGTGCCGCACCCATTTTCAGGCTCAACGGCTTAGCTTCTTTTCCTGTACTGTGACAGCATCAACGAAAGCAACCCAAGGCAGAACGCTGACTTTGGCTCATGGTAGAAGTTATACTACATAGAGGCAGGGAAATTAAACCAGTGGAAGCCTCAAGCAGCTGGTGACATCACATCCACAGCCAGAGAGAGCAGGGAATGAAGGCATGTTGCTCGGTCCCTTTCTCCATCTAGGATCTGGGTCAGGGAATAGTGCCACCCACAGCAGGCTGGTCCTTCTGCCTCCATTGATGCAATCATGCTGATCCCCCTCAGGCATGCTCAGATGCCCTCTCCCAGGTGACTCTAGTGTCAAGTTGTCAGCACTCACACACCGGAATGAAGGCCAAGGAACAGGAAGGCTCTGGAGCCAAACTTCCAAGAAATCAGCAGGGTCTTTAAACAAAAACTGTTCTCTAGTGGGCTCCAGAACCCACCTGGTGGCAATGTACTACAATTGCAGCCACGGGTGCCTCCGGGGTGTGCACAGGTTAGACCTAAGCATGCAGAGGTGTGAAAATTGCTTATACGACTGGGATGCAAAGATAAATAGATGTGGACTATGATCCCAAGGAGTTTGCACACCGGGTGGAGGACTGCACTGAAATGTTTCACCCCTTACACTCCCAGCGTAAACCTTGAGCCCCTTCCCCCAAGAGCATACCCCCCCACACACACACAAAGGCATGCAAGTTTTGAGGCAATTTCTGTGGACTAGTCCCATAGTTAGGCACTAGAACATGTGCATTCTGAGAGTGTTCCTCACACTGGTGAGCTGAGTTCCCTCCCCTCAGCTTTCCAAGCGCCCTTTTATTTGATGTCTGTGTGAAATATGGACACAGTGAATCATGTGCCTGTGTCAGTCAGCCACGGAGCAGCAAAGCAGGGTTTCAGCTCAGGTGTCTGACCTCAGAGGTGACCTCAGAGGTCATGATCCTGATGGTCAGGCCACAAAATCCTGCTCAACTTGCAGATTCAGTCCAAAGGGCTTTACTTGCATCCCACAAGGACGCCATGTACTTTGGCTTTATATCGATTTTGACCTCTTGTTTTTGTGGTGCAGTCCTGCCCCTCCCATGACTCCCCCTTCCCCCTCCACACTCCAGAGAGCACCACTGACCCCTCTCCCTCCAAACCTGTCCTATACTCCCTAACTTCAGATCTCTTGAATGGGGAACAAAAACTTGGGTGTCCCTTGCAACTAGCCTATTGGGGTGCATCTGTTGGAGGGAAGAGAATGTTGCAGACACAGCTGGAATCATTGGAAACCAGGACCTGCATATGACAGACCAAACACTCAATCACTAAATGACACCTAGTCCTACCATGTATCTTAAAACCTAGTGAAACCCATGTAAGCTTTCTAGTGTATTCCTTAGGGTAATTTCTGGGTATGACCATGTTGTCTGTGAATGAAAACTTTTGTTTGTTTGTTTGTTTGTTTGTTTGCTTGTTTTCGAGACAGGGTTTCTCTGTGTAGTTTTGGTGTCTGTCTTGGATCTTGCTTTGTAGCCCAGGCTGGCCTCAAACTCACAGAGATCCACCTGGCTCTGCTTCCCGAGTGCTGGGATTAAAGGTGTGTGCCACCACCACCCGGCAAAAAACATTTTTCATTTCTTTCTTTATAGTTAGGCTTTATTAATTAATTAATTAATTAATTAATTAATTAATTTGAGACAAGGTTTCTCTGTATAGTCCTGGCTGTCCTAGAACTCCCTCTCTAGACCAGGCTGGTGACAGAGCCTCACTGCATAGCTCTGGCTGGCCTGGGACTTGCTATACAGACCAATCTAGCCCCAGACTCATGGAGACCCACCTACCTCTACATCTTAGTTACTGTTTTATTGCTGTGAAGAGACACCAGGACCGTGTCAGCTCATAGAAGAAAGCATTTTGTTTGCTTGTTTTTGTTGTCTTTTGAGACAGAGTCTCACTATTTGGCTCTTGCTATCCTGGAACTCACTGTGTAGACCAGGCTGGCTTCAAACTCACAGAGACCTGTCTGCCTCTGCCTCCCCAGTGCTGGGATTAAAAGTGTGTGTGGCCATACCTGGCTAAAAGAAAGAATTTAATTGGGGGCTTGTTGACAGTTGTAAAGGTTAGTCCGTAATCATCATGATGGGAAGTAGACAGGTGTGGTGCAGGAGCAGTAGCTGAGAGCTTTACATCCTGATCCACAGGCAGCAGGCAGAGAGAGACACCAGGCCTGGTGTGGGCTTTTAAAACCTCAAAGCTCACTCTCAGTGACACACCTCTTCAATAAGGCCACACCTCCTAATCCTTCCCCAACAGTTCACCAACTGGGACTCAAATATATAAGCTATGGGAGGAACATTCTCATTCAAACCCAACACCTTGCTTTTGAAGGGCTTTTTATTGCTTTATTTCTTTTTCTGGTTTTTGAGACATCTCATGCTGGTCTTGAACTCACTATGTAGTTCAGGCTGGCTTTGAACTCAAAACAATCCTCCTGCTTCCTTTGAGATGACTGTCACATGCCACCAAGCCCATCACGTTCTCTCTGGAGGAACCAAGCTTTGGTGTTAGGTAAATGTTTTCTTCTTTTCATTTTCATAGCTATAGGGACCAAGCCTCGGTTACCACACACATGGATAGTTATAATCACTGCAAGGCTGACCTGTATTCTATTTTTTTCTTGCTTAGGAACCCCAGTAGCAGAGGATTCTAGACAGAGGGCAATGGTCTGAGTTTGAAATCCTACTTAACCATTTATTAGCTGTGCGATTTGAGGCAATGAATGAACAACTCTGTACCTCAGTCTCCTCACATGGAACTGGGGGCAATATTTAGCTCTAAGGAGGTTACTAGGTAACAGCTATAAACAAATACAGTACATTGGTGTGTGCCTGGCACATAGGAGGTGCTCGGTAGATACAAGGATGTCTTTGATGGGTGAGTGGGGTTGTAGCCTTTACCACCACCACTAATGCCACCTAGAACATTCTCCAGAAATCATGATTTACTCTCTCCTTCAAGCCTTTCCTAGATTCTACCCTCTGATCTCCTGAACTAGAAGAGCAGATACCCTGAGTGTGCCTCGGAGCCGGCCTGCTGGGACACGAGTCTGTGCATGGGTGGAGAAAGTTCCCGACAACAGTTGGCAAGTTGCCATGCCTGACTGCTTCCTTACATCATGGCCATCTCAAGGGAGTCTGGCTTCTCCCATGGGCCTCCGGAGCTTCAGAAGCGAGCATTCCAGGAGGATGGGGGAAGCTTCGTGGGCTGTCGGGGCTGGGTCTTTGTCACACAGAGGCGTTTCAGACATATACCTCTAGAGAGGCAGGCACAGGTCCAGCGCATACAAGGGGAGGGACTGAAGAACTCTGGAACTGTGAGATGTTCATGGTCCTGCTTAAAAGAACACTGAGGAAAGCTCGGGGCAGAGGGCATCCCTGGCCCTACAGCAGCCAAAGTTTGTGTTGACGTCCATGGCTCCTGTTGCCAGAGGGGCATTTGGATTCCTAGATTCTGAGCCACCCCCTGGGGCTGTGTTGGTGTCTGAGGGCTATGCTGCCACTGGGGCCATGCTTGTCTGGGTGGTCTGCACAGCCACTGGGGCCATGATGATTTCCAGACCTGGGCTGCTACCAAGGATCATTTCTGGGTCCGTGGCTCTACTGCAGCCAGGGTCGGTGTTGATGTCCGAGGTTCCTGTTACCATTGAAGACCATGTTGATGTCTGAGATCTGGGGCCGTGTTAGTGTCTCAGGGCTATGCTGCCACTGGGGGCTGTGACAATCTGAGTGGTCTGCACTGCCACCTGGGGCAATGGTGACATCCAGACCCAGCAGCTGCTGAGGACCAGTCTGGGTCCATGGTCCCACAGCAGCTGGGGTCTGTGTTGATGTCTATGGCATGAGTCACCTCAGAGGGCCATGGGAACCATGTATGATGGAATCAGAGGGTTATGCTGAGCTGGCCTTGCCCTTCGCTGGCCCTGGGATAGCTGGTCCTGCCCGGCGCTGGATGCGGCATCAAGAGAGTTGGCCCCTTACCACAGGCAGGGGAGAGCTGACCCTGATGGCATGGGTGTAGGGGATTTGGCTCCTCCCCTAGCCTGAGGGGCAGCCCCAGTGGCCTGGACCGACCAGCTCAACTACCACCCAGGCCCACTGGGCCTTGGGTTGGCCCACCCTAACTAACACCTACCCCAGCTAGGACCTGCTGGAGCTCATGAAGGGACTGGTCCTGTGAAACCTGTCAGGATCTCTATGACTCTGGGCTGACAGGAGATTTAGTGAGGGTCCAGTGATGATGGTGTACCAGAAACCAGAGGCCTTGAACCAGACCAGTGACTCATTGCAATGAGCATTTGGAAGTAAAGCTCATTGGACAAAAGGGTCTATACTGTGTGATACACCTCGACTCCCAATGCCACCAGGACCAATGAAGAGATGCTGGAGAGGAGGCAAAGATGGAGGCGCCAAGAGGGTTTTGTTGTTGTTGTTTTGTTTTGCTTTTTATTTTTCTTTTTGTTTTTGCTTGTTTATTTGCTTGTTTTAGTTTGGTTTGATTTTTTAAAAAATTTTCCCTTAAGGGGGTGCTGCAGTGGGGAGGGAAGGATATGGAGGGACTGGGAGGTGAGCAGAATTGGGGTGCATGATGTGAAATTC